GGGTGCGAATGGGAGCTCGACACCGATAGCGGGGAGGGGGGGGACGGACACACACCGACGAGCCACAGCACCTTGGGGGGCAAATCAGCAAAGCACAGGCCAGGGAGCTTCAGGACACCACACCCAGCTTCCCCTCCCGCCCCCGTGGCCCTCGCCTGACGAGCTCCTGGGGATGGAGCATGGCTCTGTTTTGAACAGCGAGGCTGAATGGCCCCTAACAGCCAGGGAAGGGGCTGGACGAGCTCCCAAGACCCCCATTGGTATCTCTCACCCCCGGGGGCAAATCAGCAAAGCACAGGCCAGGGAGCTTCAGGACACCACACCCAGCTTCCCCTCCCGCCCCCGTGGCCCTCGCCTGACGAGCTCCTGGGGATGGAGCATGGCTCTGTTTTGAACAGCGAGGCTGAATGGCCCCTAACAGCCAGGGAAGGGGCTGGACGAGCTCCCAAGACCCCCATTGGTATCTCTCACCCCCCAGTCGGATGGGGCGGGAGGGAGACTGAGACTCCGTCTCTAACTGATCCTCTGCTGAACTCCCGATTCCTTTGGCTGGGTGAGAAAACCCACCAGCCACCCAGCCCTGCACCGTCCAGCCCTGCAGGTGGGCTGGATCCAGACTGACCACTGCGAATGCCCCGGTACCCGCGTTCCCCCCGCTGCATGGCTGGTGCTCAGGCCGCGCCCGGCGCGTTCACCGGCACTGCTCCTGGCAGCCGCTGGCCACTCAGCCGCCCGGAGAGAACGCTCCGAGGCGCACGCAGCCCGGGAAGCGGGGTTCCCTGGAGCCAGGCACATAAGGAGCCCCCGAGGGTCCAGCCCCTCCCTGGACGCTGGGGCCAGGGGCACTGGGCTGGGAAGCCGAGGCTACAGGAAACGCAGCGAGGGGGGGAGGGGATAAAGAGGAATCCCAAGCAGCTGGTTGTTTCTCTGAGCAGGTGTCGGCAGGGCGGCCCAATGCCCCCGGCCAGCGGGCTGGGCTCCGGAGCCTGAGCCCGGCAGTCTGGTGGCGGGGAGCAAGACGGAGCCGGGCACTGAATGACAAGGGGGCAACGGAAACCCCACGAGCCCAGCTCCCCACAGACTGAGGCTCTAGGTCCATAGTCCTCACACTTCATCCCCCACTCCTACAGCCAGAGCCAGCCCTACCGTGAGGCGCACTGAGGCGGCCGCCTCAGGTGCCCGACCGTGGGGGGCGCCACGAGGACCCCGAGTGTAGAACGCTGTCTGCTGCTGGTGCCTGTGTGGGTAGCAGAGCAGTCCCCTGAGGGGAGCGGAACAGGACGGAGGCAGAACTGAGACCTCGCAAAGTTCTGGCCCAAGTGAGGGGGCGTCATTTGAGCTCCCTGCCTCAGCTGCCAAAATGTTGTGGGCCAGCGCTGCCCCAAGCCGGGCTCACCCCCGCAGGCAGGCAAGCGCGTGAATGCCGACTAGAGGCTTCCTCCTCCTTCCGTTTGCCTAGGCCAGCAGCTCCCAACCATTCCTGGGTCCCTCACCACCCCCGTAAAAAGCAGGGACCAGACCCCACGGTGCACCAAGCAGCCAGAGCCCCGGCCTAGCCTGCCTGCTCTGCCTTGCACAGAGCCCTTACTCCGGGGCCCTGAATCTGGCACCTTTCATCAGAAGGAAACGCCTGCGACCAGAAAATGCCGCCTAAGCCGATCCCCTGGGCTTTCTGCAGCAACACCGGGGGAATCTGCACCGCCAGGACCCAGCCGTCCGAACCCCGCGCGCCAGGACTCCACACAGATGCATGTGCAAGGAGAGGCTAATTCCATCACTGCTTAGACAGCTGGGACTGATCGTCCTCAGGATGCAGGTGGGACCGGGGCATTGATCCCACCATCTTTTGCGCCCCCCCCCTTCCCTCCCCGACCCTTCGCCCCTTGTTCTAAATGAATCAGCAAAAACGCCGCTGCAGCAATTTCGTTTGAGAGGCAAAACAACCCCGGATGTTGCAAAAGATACGACAAGGACTCCACAAACAGCCATGCATGGGGGGCTCGCTCTGCGGAACGTACGCCAGAAACCACACAGAGGTACCTAAAAATCTGCCTCCGTTTGTGAGAGCTAGAGGAAAAGCCTTCCTTGGCGAGTCTGTTGGTTAACATCAGAGAAAAGCAGGTTACAGGGGTAGCGTGTCCGCCCTGAGCGAGCTACCGGCGCGGCCGCGAAGCGTGTTGAATGGTACTCACCTGCAGTCGTTCAGGTATCCGTTCTGAGCAGTCTGGCGGCAGGGAAAGAAAAGGGAAAATAATTGAGAAGGCAGCAGTATTGGCTGGTTACAAACAAGGGGACGGGGCTAGATCTCAAAGGCCGGGCTGGGCTCAGAGATGGGGCAGCGGCCCGCTCGTGAGTTCCTTTACGGGTGTCGACTGCCACTTTGCTCTTCGGGCTAGGTTCTTATCCCGGAGCATCAGGTGCCTTGTAACGCTCCTTCCACCCTGAGACGTCCCAACACTTCACAGAGCTTAGCCCACGCCCCTGCCCAGTGCTGAGAATCAGGCGTTCCTGGCCCTGCTCCGTAACCTGGCTCTAGGGACTCAATCGCCGTCAGACACAGAAGAGAATCTGATGAGCTCTAGGCCTGCTCCAATAACTCCAAACACAGCAGCTCTTTCATAGGAAGCACTCCCATGGCTCCCGCCCAGCAGTGCTGCCCCAGTTCAGCCTGTGGCTCGGATCGAGGCATGCCGCAGGTTCAATCGATTTCCTACACTCCGGTCAGGTGTCCGCCACCTGTGGGGGCGTGTTACG